TAAAACAGTTACCTAAATGAAGATCTGTGCATACCAGTGGAACAGTGGATCATCCACTTTCTCATCTTAGTTTAAGCAGTTTGGAAACCTATCCTGGAAAGTTAATCTTTCATATTGTTTATTTTTCAGTATAAACTTATTGCCCAATAGGTTTTATTTGGCTTCATTTCCATTTCAGATATTTTGGAGGATCCCTTCTTCCTCCGTGCTGACTTATTTAACTTTCTTTTTTATTTGTAAGAGTTTAAAAAATATATTTTGGTAATAAAAATGTTTTGAAAATATAAGCAACACCCATGTTTTTCCACTAATCTGTGCCTGTCTCTTTTTTTAAAAGCTTTATTTGAGATATAATGTGGATAACATAAAATCCTCTTAATGCAAGTATTCAATTAAATTCTTTTAAATAAACTTTCAGAGTTGTACAACTATTGCCGTAGTCTTATTTTACAATGAAGAAATCTTCTACCCACACCCAACCCTTGATAACTACTAATTTATTTCTAATCTCTCTATAGATTTACCTTTTCTGGTTATTTCACTGTAAATGAAGTCATATAATATGTGATTGTTTATGAGTGGCTTCTTTCACTTAGCTTACATTTTTAAGGTTAAAGTTCGTTCATGTTTAGTGTTTCCTTTTTAATTACCTAATTATTATACTCCAGTGTATGGCTATACTACATTTTGCCTCCGTATTCATTGTTTGATGATCATTTGGTTCTCACTTTTTAACTGTTGTGAATAATGCTGATGTGAATTTTCATGTATAAGTTCTTGTGTGGACATAAGCTTCATTTCTTTTGGGTAGATACTAAGAGTAGAATTAATGGGTCATAGATTAAATATATTTTTAACATTTTGAGAAACTGCTCAAACTGATATCTTGAGTGACTACCATTTCATATTCCCACCTGTATTGTTATGAGGGCTTCAGTTTCTGTAGATCCTTGCCAAGACTTGTAATTGTCTGCTTTTTGAGTGTACTGAGTCTGAAGTAGGCTCATACTATGATTTGCATTTCCCTAGCAACTTTTGAAAAAGTCCCAGGGTTGTGGAAATGGTTTGTACTAAATTACTAATCTAGAGAGAGACTATAGTCAAGGAAATCTTATGGGGCAGTTATACTCTGAGATTCATGGGTTGATGCAACAAGTTGGAATTAACTGACGAGCAATAGATGTTTTTGAAATGACAAATGATTGTGAGCATTTTAGCTATTTGTATGTCTTTGGCAAAATGTCTTTTCAAACCTTTGACTATTTTTAAGTTGGATTTTTAAAAGTCATCCTGTTTTAATAATTCCTTATGTATTAATATCCCATATCAACTAATTTGCAAATATTTTCTCATAGTCTATAGTTCGCCTTTTCATTTTCTTGATGGTGTCTTTAGGTTTTCCTAGGTCTGAAGGTTTTCCCTTTGTACCTCAGCAATCTGCTTAACTCCAAGTCATAAAGATGTATTACATAATTTAATTATTTTCTTCTGTGTTATAGTTTTCCTGAGTCTAATATGTGTCTTTCATATTTTGGTTAGCAATTCTTTGTTTACGATTCCCAGAATTGGGATTACTCGGTCAAAGGCTAAGTGCTAAATATCAATTGAATTATTTTTTCATACCTATCAATAATATAGGTGAGTGCTTATTTCTCTCTGCCTGTTTGTCTCTGTCTCTTTTCTTCACTAAGTAGGCATTTTGCAAAGCTAATAGGTGTGAAATGGTATTTCATTGCAGTTTCAATTTACCTTTTTGTAATTTATAAATTTTGTAGATATTTACAACATATCCACAAGAAAGGGTTATAGACATTGTCATCTGTTTTTTCATTGGTAGTTTTACTTTGTTTTCCTATATCCGGTTGGTTTCTTTTTTCCCGTGCAGAAGTTTTAAAACATTTCTATAATAAAATATATCAGTCATTTCCTATATATTTCCACCTGTGCTTTGGATCATAGAACAGTTTTTTCCCTCACTTTCAGGTTTTGGGGAAATTCACCTATGTTTTTATTCTCGTGCTAGAATAGTTTCATTTTTCATATTTAGATTTTTAGATCCAATTTGAATTTATCTTTATATGTACGTAGTGTGAAGAACATATGGTAAATTATCTGGACTATATTTTTTAAAAATTCAACTTCCACTAACTTGAAGTGTTGCCTTAATTGCATGCTAAATAACCATATACAAATTTCTCCATTATGCACTTTCTGGTCCATTTCATTAGGTTAGCCTCTATTTAAGGACTAATACCACATTCTTTTATTTGTAGCAGGAACCCTGGTGCACTGTGTTTAAGTGCTTGCCTGGTAACTTAAAGGCCAGTAGTTCAAATCCACCAGCCGCTCTAAGAATGAAAAATGTGGCAATTTACTTCTGGAAAGATTACAGCCTTGGAAACTATGTTGCTGCACGTCTTACATGCTTACTATGAGTTGGAATTGACTTGTTGGCAGTGGGTTTGGGTTTCTGGCAAAAGTTTTATGATAGGCCTTAAGCATTTCTTTTTCTAGTACTCTTTGTTTTTAGAGTCTATGCTGACTCATTGCGACCTTATTGGACAGGATAGAACTGCCCCTGTGAGTTTCTAAGACGAATTGTTTACACTCAGGATTAAAAAGATGTATTTGTCTTCTGTGGAGCAGCTGGTGCAGCCCAATGCGTAACTGCTACCCTACCAGGGTTCCTTGAGCTTTTCTTGGTTGCTTGGTTTTTCAAGTAAACGTTATGACTAACTTGTCTAGCTCCACAAAAATAACAGACTATTTTTTAATTTTCCTCCAACCCCTTTCTCCCTCGTCCCTCTTACCCCTCCCCTTTGTGAGGTATAATATTTCTATTATTTTAAGTGTACACATTGTTGCTTTGAAGTAATTATATTAAAACTGCCATCACTGAACGTGTTCACTTTTGTGACTCTTCCAGGTGATTCCCATTTCTCACACCTTGTCCCAATGACTTACCTGCTTACTTTCCCTCTAGATTTACAAGCAGCATGTCATCTTTGGTTTTTTATATTGTTCAAAATACCATCCACATGGTTTCTGAGATGTTAAATGTATCAGTCGTATGTTCCTTTTCATTATGAATGGTAGTTTATAGAACTAATATGCTATAATTAATTTTCCTATTCATTAGTGTTGGGCTGTTAAGCATAAGGTCCACAGTTCGAAACCACCAGCTAATCCACAGAAGAAAGGGCTGTCTAATCTCCTGAAGAGTAATGTTCTCAGAAACTCCCAGGTGGGCAGTTGTAGTCTGCCCTATAGAGTTGCTGTGAGTGCATTGACTCAGTGGCAGTGCGTCTGAATGAGTGAGATTCATTGTTAGGTATCTGGATCTTTAACCGCCCCACCCCCTTTTTGTTGTTATGAATAAAATACT